TGATGAGACATGAAGTCCAGGGGTGCACAAATCTGGAATCTGCTAGGGCGGGGGTGCAGAAGAGACTAGGTAAGGGGAGGTGCAGCGTGGGCAAGGCAGGAAAATCACGAGGGTCCTGAAAGAGGCCCCAGAAGAAACGACAATGGCCTGACTCCCTTCAGTAACTGTTCACAGCCTTCTGAATAAAGTCCAGACTCCACTCCTGGTGCCCAGAAGCCCTGGTGGTCAGCCTCGATCTCGTGCCGTCCGCCCCGCTACACCTAGCCTCCCAGCCCAGCTATTCTCGCTCTCTCTCATCCAGGGCCAAAAGCATGCTATGCTCTTCACGCATCTTCCCCACGGTCTCCCTAGCCCTCGGCTGGAATTGCCATGAGTCCAAATCACATGCCCCTTCAGCTTCTGCACATCCACAGAGGACTGCGTCACCCGCCCCAGGGTCCAACCATCAGCTTCCCCCAAATCCAGAGCCCAGGGAGGAGAGAGACTGGGCCCAGAATGTCCCAGACTCCCAGCACCAAGCCCATCCCCTGGAGGCCTCTTACACAGGAGGTGCTCAAGGAATATTTATTCAGTGAATCAAACAGAGCTTGGTTTTTTGTTTTTTTTTTAAAGTATTGAAACACGGAGCAATTTAAAAATGAGCTGAATCTTAAAAATCTGTACTGGCGAAACTTGAGTGCTAGAAAACTGTCTGTACTTTAGAAAAGTACCTCTTTTCTCTTCACATTCAAAGACTTAAGCGATCAAGCTTCCCTTCTCTGATCTTGTCTTTTCTTCCTCATCGTTCTGACAGGCACTGAAAATTCCTCTCTGACTCTACTTCTGAAAGAATGTCTTTTCTATAAGGATCCCTCCATTTCAGAACCTGCCGCAGGAGGGAGTGTCCTCAGGAAAGGAGGAGGAGTTGATTACATGTAAAATTTTTCAGAATACATTAGGCTTTTGTAAGCTCCCTTCAGTAGCAATCCCCATCTAGATTTAAATGCTTCTCTGTAGAATATTACCTGCTTGCCAGAAAAGGGGAATCAGTGAATCTTAGCTCTGAAACAAGGATGTTTTCCACGAGGGAAAAAGCAGAACTACCCCCATGAAAACACACCTTGGGCGCCCGTTCTGCCCCAGTCACACACAGCCTGGGTGCTCTCCATCCAGCATCTCCATCCCACAGCCTCCCCTTCCCATGTTCCGGGTAATAAAACTGAGGCTCAGAGGAAGTAAAGTATTTTCCAAAACCCAGTAAACTGCATTGTGAACTCAAGTCCATCTAACTCCAAACCCGTGCTCTTTCCGTTATGCCAACTACCTTGTATCAGAAATAATAAAAGGGAAAAAATTCACAACACTACAGCCCAACATAGAGCTTCATTTGTATCCATGTGATTCTGACCCTGTCTGGAAGCAAGTTTACCACATCGAGCAAGGCAGACAAGCAATAAAGTTCCCTTTATTGATTGGGACCACGAGCCAAAAAAACTAACATGGGAAAAAGACAAGGGGACCACCAAACACCAAGACAGAGAATGGCCAGAACTGGAAAGGGACCAGACAGGACCCACCCCTGGCCACCCACAGGTTCCCAGCTCGCACCCACTCCAGGGAGCCACCAGAGCCACAGGAAGGGGCCCTTCCAAGCCAGGGAGAGCAGACACTGCCAAGGAGGGTGCGAAGGTCCCAGCGTACAGAATGGAAGCAGTCGGTGACAGCGGCCCCACACAAGCCCCCCCCACCACATCTGGCGTCTCAGCAAGTGCCATCAGCTTTATGCCAAAGAAATTACCAGGCCCAGAGGCATTCCTGATGTGGGCTATAACCCTCCACTCTAACATCATCAAAAGTTGGAGGGCTGTGGTCATCCCCACAAGCCCTTCCCTACCCTCGAGCGAAGCTTCACCTCGATCAGCATGTCCCTAATACCTCCTTCCCTTTCCCAATCACAGCGAGCCCCTCCAGAACAACTCCTCTACTGGTGACCTTGCCAAATCCTATGACTCTGTGGAGCTCGGGGGTCTGGAGCAGTTTGTGGAAGCCTGTGCCATGGTGGTCTCTCCCTGCTCTGACTATAGACACCATCCCACGCAGTTTACCTACACCTCTCTCTAGATGCAGGTAGTACAGATGTATTTTTCTCCAGTGTTACAACTTGGCACAGTGGTACTCACTCTTTCCTACAGTTACCGCCAACCAAATACTCACCTCTTCTATTCTAGGCACTAATGATACCAGATTGATTCAATCCCAGCCCCATCCTCATGGCACTGAGTCTAATGGGGGACAGATCACATAAAATACAACTGGACAAACATATTTCTCATTACAGGGCACGAGACAATTCAAAGCACTATAGCACATCACCCTATTCTCTTCATATCACTTAGCTCCATCTGTAGCTGTCAGGTTTGTTCATTTACTTACCTGCGATCTGTCCCCATTAAGAGACAGTGGGACAGGAATCTTGTCTGTCTGGTTCACTGTTGTGTCCAGAAACATACTCATTAAAAGTAGTGTGTGTGGAAGGGGATAAAGAAGAGAGGCAGGGAAGTGTCAGGAATGATGAGCACTAAACCCAACACAGAGGTCCAAGCAATGCTTCTGCAACTGGCTCAGACGTAAAGAGGGAATATGGACCAGAAAGGGAAGGGGAGAGAAAAAATCCAGAAGAGGACACAGGCCGAGCAAAAGAAACGGCAAGTCAGAAATGGCAGAGGCTGTTGGGGGAGAGCCCCTGAACAGTGACATGGACCAGCTGTTCTCAAAGACACCTGTCGATGCCGGGAGACATTTTTGATTGTCATGACTTGGGTCAGTAGTTGCTGCCAGCACACACTAGGCAGAGCCCAGGGGGGCTGCTAAATGTCCTACAAGGTACACAACAGCTCCCCGACAACAGAGAATTATCTGGTCTAAAATGTCAGTAGTCCTGAGTTTGGCAACTGTAACATTTAAGGCATGGACTGGGCAGAGAACATTAAAGCTTTCTTTCTAAAGTTCACAATTTCTACTCTCACCAAGTATGTTCTTTTGATTAGAATTTAGAGCCGTATAGCATTTGCTTACCACCTCCCATAACCTTGAAGAAAGGAAATATACATCAAGGAGTGTCCAGAACCTGTCAGGCCTCTGTACTAGCTGAAATGAGACTCTCAGCAGGTATCTGTGAACTCCCTCGTGCTGCACTTGGCCTGGGTCTGTTCTATGATCTTCATCAAGGATATAGTATCAATTGCCCTCACCTACTGACTATCCACCAAGACTCCTCATTTTCCCTCTAAACTCTAAGACTCCAAACTACCCACCCCATTTGCAAGGGATGAGATGTAGAAAGATGAGGACAAGAGGTACTCAACAGCACCAGATCGATGGATGGATGGGCAGACAAACAGAGGCGTGAACAGAGATTTTTCAGAATGGAAAGGACTGAGTCTGTAGAGCTCCAAGGGCATGTATCTGTGCTTTACACACTTTTCCATGAAGGCAGGATTGTCCTGAATGTTGACACCCCCGGCCCCATGCCCTGTTATGAAGAGTGGAGGAGAGGCGGGGTCTTTGCTTAGCAAAGGTCATTTCCCTAGGAATCTACAGCCTTGGCAGGGAGTCAAGCAGCTGGACTTTGAAGGAGTGGTGACAGGAGCTGGGAAGTCAGCAAAGACAAAGCCCCTTTGTCTGGAAGTAGCACACACAGCAGGATGGAGCCTGCCCCTTGACAATGAAATCTGCAGCAGCTCCAGAACTCGCTGGGGCCTGACCCTCTGTTCAGCTGCCTGTCCTGCCTTGCAATGGCTTCTATTCTCAAGAGCTAGAAGTCTCTTAGTCTAAAATGGGTTTGTTTATTTTTGCTCCTGGCAAACAGTTCAGTATTGTGTGAAATGCTTGAATTTTAACTATAAGAGGGAAGAGAGAGGAAGAGAGAGAGAGAGACAGACAGACAGAGAGATCACCATTTTTTTTCCTGTTGTAAGAGATCCAATAGTGGGGGTGCCTGGGTGGCTCAGTGGGTTAAAGCCTCTGCCTTAGGCTCAGGTCATGATCCCAGGGTCCTGGGATTGAGCCCTGCATCAGGCTCTCTGCTCAGCAGGGAGCTTGCTTCCCTTCATCGATCTCTGCCTGCCTCTCTGCCTACTTGTGATCTCTGCCTGTCAAATAAATAAATAAAATCTTAAAAAAAAAAAAAAAGAGAGAGAGATCCAATAGTGAAACATTTCTGAAGAGTAGATCTTAGACACTCACAGGGGCTATCTCCTGCTACATCTCAAATTCTACCATGACAGAAGTTTCCCAGATTTCCTCATCTCTGAAGTGGATGCAATACCATCCACCTTACAGTCTTACTAATATCCTAAAAAGGCTTATTTAAATCAGAAATATTTACAGATGGATGCAATGAATGAAAACTCAATAGCATCCAACTTCTCAGGAAAACTTCTGGTGGACAGAACAGCAAAAGCCGGGAATGGCACCCACTGCAGGGCAGGAGTTCTTCCCAGTCCCACACGATCATGGGCCTTCCGTCTAATACGGCGGCTCCACACAGAGCCAGAGCTGGAAAGAAGGGACAGTTTACCGTAGAACGTCAAAATGGAAATTGAAGTAAATTTGCTGCAATTCTAAGCAAGACCAGCAACTCTCACAGTAGAAAAATATCAGTATAGGCAGTGCCCAGTTAGTAAATGAATGGTTTTCCAAAAGCTCATTTGTAAGTTGCATGTTTGAAACTTGGAATGAAAGCATTATTTTATGTCCCAAGCCAGCCCACAAACACTGGTTGAACTTAAAATACTTCTGGCACACCACATACTTAGAGCGAAAACAGTAAAAAGCAATGTTTTTATATCACTTTAAAAATCTATCAAAATAAAAAAATTAAAATTAAAATAAATAAAAATCTATCAAAATTGCTTAGAAAAATAAATACACAGCTCATCACTAGCCAAATACAATAGTAATACAAAATATTGAAACCAGGTTTGAAAACTGAGAAGCTTTAACATTTATCCACCGAGTACCTTCTTTAATCCTCCAAATAAAGTGCCAATCTCCAGGGCAAACTGCCGGTCCAGCTCCTCTTCATGTTCTGACAAGAAAAACAGTGTTTCATTAGTCAGTTTTATTTAAAACTGGGTTGGTTTAAAAGGAGAGGCACTAAGAGAAATTGGAATATGTTCTGGAAAAGCTGTCTATGGACTGAGCTACAGACATGGAGACATGTCAGACTCCTTGACCTTCTGCTCTAGTTTCCTGTGACCTAAGTTCCTGGAAATACAGAGTGGGGCTGATGGAAATGTCCCCTTCAACTTGTAATAAAGGTTACAAATGGAGAGGGATCAAGACACAAAGCTTCCAGCACCAGGAACCAAAGGTGGAATTAGTGCAAATGCCTCACCTCTATAGCTGGTGAAAAATTATTCTAAACAGATCACACCACAAAATGACAGTGATCATAGCCCCATGATATGCACATAATGCTAATGAGATTATAAAATGAAATCCTATAATAGTAATAAGTATACAATTGGTTTAAAACAAAAAGTATTAACAAAATATTCATTCAAATACTTGCTAAGGGTGTGCAATAACCAGGCACACACTGTGATATACCAGGAATTAAACAAAACAAGATTGGCATGACCTTTGCCTGGGACTCCTGGTACCCCAGGGAAGAGAGACGAACCAATAATGATAAATTGCAATAGTGCTGATGCATGCCATGTAAGGAAGGAGGAGAGCTGAAGTGCCTGTGCGATGTCCCCTGAGCAGCCCAAGGGGAATGGATGGAGCTCAAGAGTACACTGAACTGGAGATGAAGCGTGGGGCGTCTTCAGCATAAGGGTAGCGATGCAGCCACCAGAATGTCTGAGCTCACCCTAAAAGGCACAGGGTGCACAAACAAGGGAAAACCAATCCTTATCAGACCAACAAACCTACAAAAACCACAGAAGAAACAAAAAGGAACTACCCAGAAAGATGGCAGGAAAACCAGGAGAGTGTGCCGTCATTAAAGGATGCTGGTTTCACAGTGGGATCCAGGGACAGAATCACACACTAGAGGAGCCCCAGCATCCAACCATGGGCAACACTGCCCTGGGAACAACAGGAAAGGGTGGGGTGGTGAGCACCAGCCCAGGGCTCCACATGGCCCAGCTCCAGGACAGAGTCCCACTGCATCCCATGGGGTGCATGGGGCGCTGTGGAGGTGTGGGATTACAGTCGGGCTCTGGTTCTTTCTGTTACAGTGGCACGCAGGTCACATTGTGTGCTCAACTGTGCACAGACTCAAGTTCCAGGGAAGAGCCCACAAACAAAGGGCAAACTACTGCAATCCAACAATCCTCTTGCCTCTTCTGTTTCGGCTTCACGAAAAGCAACCGCCAGAAACATCAGAATTGTGCAGAACTGAAACGAGGCAGAAACGTGTTTGGATGGTTTTGTTTTTGTTTTTTGCTTCTTTTTTTAAAAGAGTACGTTCAGATTCAGAAGCAGTGAAATTTACATGCGAAAGCACCAGACTTCCTGAAACTAGAACGCAGCTCCCTCTAGTGGGAAAAAGGAATCCTACACAGGAGAATAATGACACCCTATCTGGTGCCCGCAACTGAAATAAAGGCACAATTTTAAAAAGTAAAAAAAGACGAAATTAATTTTAGTATCTTTTATTTCCACACAGAATCAGTATTAAACAATTGCCTATCAGTCATTTTACATCCCTTTTTCTTACTAATTCTTCAAAATCCAATATACATGCTATCCTTATAGCCCATCTCAATTTGAAGAGGCTACATTTTAAGTGCTGGGACAGCTAATGACTACAGTATTAGACAGCATGGCCAAAACCAAAAATCTTCTCTCAGGTTTGGAGAATTTTTACAACTCCCTCGGTCTGATTTCTTGACACCAACTGCTATACAACATCCATTCCTCTTTGGAATTCACGGTCCTGGGTCTTAAGTTAGCTGAAAATGCGTGGCTACAGAATCTGGTTGCTATAGGAGAACGGCAGCTGAGAACATGTAGTGGGAAATCTTTCCCCAAAGAGCTTCGGCCCTCAGAATTTCCCTGCTGTGACCTTTCATTAGAGAGCCCATATTCTCACTCAGAGCAAGAGTTTTCATCGTAGCTCACACACACTCAAGCAAAAGGACCCTGCAAATGGAGAGAAGCCTTCTTTGCCTGAGCAATTTTCTCCACACCACACAGGCCTGACTGTTGGGCAAAGCGATTTTCTTCAAGGTACCCTGGTTTTATTTCCCAAAATTCAGCGCTCCACAAAACTGCTTCAGAGCACAGAAATGAAGCAATTTCTGTTGATGAGCCCTCATTACTAAATCAACTGTTGATTCTCCCCACTCCAACCACCACCCAACAAGAGGATACATCAAAGCCCCATTCTACCTACTGAGTGAGAGGATTTGCATTTTAATCGATGCCAATGAGCTGTGGTGGTAAACCATTTACTTGGAAGTGCTAACTAACCTACCCCTTTCACCCTCAACATTTTGATAGGAAACCATTTCTGGGGTGGGGTGGGGGTAATTAGAGGGCAATAATCGGGAAGGGGAGGAAACACACACACACACCCTTGTCTGACACAAGCCACTGCCAAGGACTAGCACACCCAATCATGGCTTAACATGTCCTGCTGTTTCTATGCATTTGAAAAATTCTAATCAGCTCCTACTGATTCTTTATTTCTCTAGGAAGCCGCCGGGTATGGCAGACTGTGGCAGTAAATGAGTAGAGAAAGGGAGCAGAAAAGATGGGCTTCTCCAGATAAGAGAATTTAACGATAACCAGCTCTCACAAATTCATATAAAAGGTCATATAGAAGGATGAGAAGGTGCTGGTTTTCCCATGATAACTCTTGAGAAGTGGATCCCCGCCCCCCAATTCCCATAAGGGAATGAAAAGTTGATGTAGCAATAGCCCAAGCAAAAGCAAATCATATATGTAAACAGGATACAAAGTGACATACAACATAAAAGGCCTTCAGATTTCCCTAATAAGGCTGCTCATCTATTACTCATCAGTGGGAATTCTGGGGTCTATCACTGCGATCCACCAGGTACACGATCTGCATGGGAGTCCTTAGGGCTCCAGACTGAGATGGAAACTTTCCAGCAAAGAGGAAACCATAAGCTCTGGGCATATTCTTTTGTGTTTGACAGAACGGCAGGGAGCACTAGCTGGAAGAGTAAGGAGCTGTGGAGTCTAATACGGAGGGTTGCTTTCACATGCCCTCAGCTCAGGCCCTGTCCCAGGTCACTGTTCACTGTGACAAGTTTACTACTGGTGTGAAGAAAATCGACTAAGGGTGGGGAGCCTGGGTGGCTCAGTCAGTGATGTGTCCGCCTTCTGCTCAGGTCATGATCCTACGGTTCTGGGATCAAGCCCTCCATCAGCGGGAAGCCTGCTTCTCTCTCTACCCCACTGCCTCGCGTGCTTGCTCGATCTCTCGCTCGCTCTCTCAAATAAGTAAAATCTTAAAAAAAAAAAAAAAAAAAAAGTCAACCAACACTCTCCCACCTTGAGGGCCAGTGTCCACATAGGAGAAGAAGGCCCACGTAGCCTGAGAGGAAGGAGTGGGCCAGCAAGCTTGGATTCCCAGTAGGAAAGCCGGAGCTCTAACGTTTCCTAGGACCCGGGCCACAGGTGACCAGGGAACAGGGTGAGCCATAACATGAAGCCCTGCCTAACAGATCCCTCGGAGCCTGAGTATGACACACACTTTCCATGCTGGCCATCAAGCCAGACTGCCCAGTCCTTGGCTCCTGCGGGAGCTATGCCCTTGGGACCTTTCACGAAAGACCTGTTAACTGAAGGGCCCCTGGCGGCCCCTCCCATAGTTCCAAGGGCAAGGCCACCTGTTCAAAGACAGGACCAGGGGTAGCCTCCATTCCCCCCAACCCAATGCTGCCCACCCTGAACTGGGCCCTCCAGAGTTGCCAGCTGTCTTGCAACCAAATTCTCTAGTCACAAAATCAAGTGGGAAAAGTTACCTCTTGTTTACAAAGCCCGCCCCTCATGAGAGGTTAGTGTGTTATGAACACAAAGAAGAATCTAAACGCACTGTTGTCTCCTTTCCTTATAAACAGAGAATAATGGTAAGTGACAACAACAGGGGCGTTTAGGAACAAACAGAAGGTAGAAGGTGAAAATGTTCAACTACAATTGTACTCCACTTTCAGAACACCTACTATATAAACACAGAAATTGGACGTGGCAATTCAAATAAATCATTTGTTCGCAGTTGCTTAAATATCGGGGCTTCCTGGTGCTACAGAGTTTATTTAGAGAAACATTTAACCCTGCTCACTCAAGATTTTTAAAAATGAAAATAAAGGGTCTGTGAAATGGAAATGCAAATTTGTGGAAAAATACCACTCCGTTTATAAAAATGTCCCCAATATGCAAGTTTTCAGGAAGAAAGCCAGGGCATAAAACTTGAACCTGGGCTCTGGAAAAGCCAAAAGGATCTAGCATGGCCTACTGTTCAATGGAGAGTAATTGTCACCAAAAAAAAAAAAAAAAAAAAAAAAAAAAAAAGTAGAATTTATAAATAAACCCAAGAAAATTTTTTTTTTTTTTTTGAAGAAGAGAAGAAATCCACTAAGTAGACAAAACCTTTAGTAAATTCCCTAAAACAGAAAAAATGAGACATGGGTGATTCAAAACATTATATGATCTCCAACTGGATGTTCATACATTTGAAAATTTCAATGCAGAGGAAAAATGTAGGGGTGCCTGGCTGCCTCACGCAACTCTTGATCTCAGGGTTGTGAGTTCGAGCCCCCACATTGAGTGTAAAAATTCCATAAAAATAAAATCTGAAAAAAAAATTTATATATATATCTCAAATTGACTTAAGAAAACCTAAATATAACCTGAAATAACTGAAAGGTACTGAAGTTTTCAGTGAATCTATTTCCAAGCACTCCATGCCTAGACTAGACAAACTTACAAATAAATATCAAACTTCGAAGCTCACATCTCGTGCACTATTTACACAGTTCCATAGCACACACAAAAAATAAACTTCCCCATTCATTTTATAAAGTTAATGCTGATGTTAAAATCTGA